CGAAGAGGAGGGACAGAGACAGAGAATGTGGGAGAATATCTGGCCTGGCTGAAGACTGTTTTCTGCCCCGCGGAGTTGTGGATGGTACTGGGTCCAAGTTGTCGGTCCAGCGCGGCTGGCAGAGTTTACACTCAGTTTTGACTCTTCTAATTGTTCTTAATTTCAACATTGGCTATTTATGATCGCCAGTAGGATTGTTGCTATTTTTAAAGTCCTGGTTAAATAAACACCAGTTAGAAAGTTTCTTTTTCAAAGAGACTCCAGTATCCGAGATAAACGCTTCTTTTGTCAAGAACAACTTCGAGGGAAACCTCTGCATTTTAGTCTAAGCATGCTTAGCGCTTTTTTTTTTTTTTTTAACACCGCTACTACCCCCTACCCCATTGGTATTATAAAGCGATTTAACATCCCGGTAGCCTTTATTTAGGAAAACTTCAGTAGCATTAAAAAATATCAGTAATAAGGTTTCTCCCTAAGCCTTTGCTTTGTCTCCAGACAAATTGATTATTTCTATATTTTAAAGCAGTCGTTAAGGAAATAATGGCTTGATTAGCTGGTGATAATTTGGGTTTTGGTAAAAAGAGAAAAGTGGAGACTCTGCTTTATCCGGTGGCCAGTGCAGAAGCGGTTTTAACTTGGACCCTTTCTTCCTCTTTCACTGTGTAACTTCTTATGCATTTTGTCAAGTGCATTAAGGCAGACAGGAGGACAGTCTGGTTAAATGTAGGGGGCAGAAAGGAAGGGTATTTTAAGATATTTTCAAAAAAGACACAATTTTTAACGTGGGAGATTTTTAGTTAAGAAGTGTGGGATGGTTGAAAATAGCACACTACTGAAGAACATCTGTATGGCTTTGAAATACACTTTATCTAAAAGGAGACACTGTTTCCTAGTAACTAAAAAAGGATTTGTTACTCAGATGCATGCTATTGGTGAAACTGTTAGTTTGCGTGTGAGTTTTAAAATCCACCGCTGTGGTGCCTTGCACAGGAGATCAAGCTGGAGTTGATTCAGGGTATCTCTCCTGATTGCTGTGATGACTTCAAAGGATTGTGATTATCAACAGCTTGTGGGTGTTTTATTAATACAGCTGCAGAGGTTCTTCCAGTTAAGGATAGCCTCTGTTTTCCATCCTTGATTTCCCTGTTTGGTGGAAGCCATCCCACAGAAGCGAGGCGGCCACACTTTCTCTTTTCCGTCTGTGTGGACACCTTGTTTTCAGAGCTCCGCACTCCACACCCTGGTTGTGGATTAATTTACTCTCCCACATTTGAGGTAAAGGGAAATAGGTGGGGTAGCCCCAGAGACAAACAAGAGATGGGGGTCACAGGCGCTGCGCACACCTCAGTCAACAGTCAGCTCCTCCTGCCAGGCTGGAAATGGTTTTAACAGGCGGTAAAATTTCATCTTGCGGTGTCAAATTGGGGTCATTTTGGGGTTAGAGTTCTCAGTGTCCGTGAGGAGCTGTCCAGCTGTGTGGGGACTCATTAACTGCAAAAGATCTGTTTCAGTAAAAACAATTCAAAGACAATCAGAAGGCTAAAGACTCTCTACAAATCGCATTTTACAAGTGCCCCAGAACAAATATGGTTGGTAAAACCTATTTCTTCACAATCCCAAATCAGCTACTTAGCTCTGGAGTGGGGGGTGGGAACACTGAATTAAAAAGGAGGTGAAAGGGGGGAGTACCAAAGGGGGCTGAAGAAGGAGAATTGGGCCTCTCAAATTTAAGAGTCTGTTTTTAATCACCCCTTTCTTATTGAAGCATCCCCTAGACTTCTGAAAAGCACTTCTTTCTATTTCTCCTTTTCTTCTTTTGATCCCTTGTGGAATGTTACTATAGGTAACATTAAGGATTTCAAAGAATAATGTAAGCCCCTAGTTCTGTAGTCCAATGGCATTGGCTTTTGGGAGGGGAGTTCATTTGAAGTAGCATTTATAAACTGGAACTTTATTTTAGCTGAACTTGTTCAGGCTTCTTGAGGTGGTATATGTGGCTGTTCTTTTTATATGTCCCCTCCCCTCACCAATTTCCAGATCCTCTGCACAGATAATTCCAAATTCCTCAGAACTGTGAGGTCCTGAAGTGTTAATCTGTGTATTAAAATCACCAGATTTAAATCCCTTTTGTCTTCTTTACAACAGTTAGAACAATTGATGCTTTACTACAAGAGCAAGTAAATCCAGCCTTAATCTTGTTTGCAACTTTAGTTAATGTTTTGATTTGGAATATTTTGTATCAAGGGGACTTTTATGTAAGAAAAAAACTGAGATTATGTTTGATTTGGGGAGGCTCTGTTCCTCAATTTGAAGAAAGATAACTTACTCCTTTGACTTAAGAGGGATTTCATTGGGTCAAAGGAGAGTTCAGGGTTAAAATAGGAGGCTAAACATGAGAAATGCTAGGATTTTTTTGACAAAACAAAGTTGATATTTAAAAGTAAAGTATCATTTTAAAGGATATTTATTTCCTTGGATTACTGAACCTAGCAAGCCAAAAAAAAAAAAAAAAAAAAAAATCCTCAAAACACACCATCCATTGGCTCTTTCTCTTCCGTACAACACCTCTGTTCCCAGGCTTTCTATTCCATCCACACTTCTTTCCTTCCTTCGGGTTCTAAAGGAGGGTGAGTTTTTGAAGTCTTCCTTTCTCCAGGCTTCCCAGGGTGTTTGCAGACTGTCCTCCATGGATTCTGTGGCCCTGCAGAAACAGCCCTGAGCCTGTTAGGGGGACAAAGGCAAAGGGGTTGTCTTCTGCCTTAGTCCTGCCGACTGACGGTGGGAATTTTTTATATTATATTTTATTTGGTATTTCTAATAACGTGTTGGCCCCACCGCTCCACCCTTTGAAGCTCCTTATTACTGTTACACCACCTCTTCTTAAACCTCCGTTCTTCCTTGTGAACTGTTTTTGACCTTCTCAGCAGTATAACCGAAAAGTTTAGAGTAGAAAGAATTCTGCTCACTTCCTTACCTGTTACCTTGGTTCATGTTCTTTCTAGTCGGTGTCCTCAGAGGGAAGGAGTCCCTGTTCCCTGTCCCCTGTCCCCACCACCACCTTATTGATTTTTGCTTTTGTTTTGTGTTTATTTTTATTTATTTTTTGCGCTTTTACGCCTTGGTGTTCTATTATAGACTTTTCTCCCTGAAAATAATACTATTAAAGCAACCTACAGTTTTTAAAAATAGGATGGGGTAGAATTGCTGCATTTTGCTGTTTCCCTGTCTAATTTCTTCCAATTTTAGCTGTTTCCCTGTGTCGCGGGAAGAGCGAGTTTCAATAAATAGCCCTCTAGCGCTATCTGGCGGGGCTCCAAACGCGCCGAGCACTACGAGCACTACGGCGCTGTCAGTTTCTCCTTCCCGCGCCCTTCTCCTTTCCTCTTTCTCTTGTCTATACTGCTCTCTGTACCCTATTTACAGTTCCTTCTTTGCCTCTTCTGTCCTTTTTCTAGTCTCTATTACAGTATCCAGTGCAGACAGCGGACCCCGCACCGGCCAGCTCCTTAGCCCTTGCAACTCCATGGCAGTCCGGCCACTCTGATCTTGCAGGCTTTCCAGTCCCGATCCAGCGTGGCTCACGCCCATCTTCTCCCATTAATGAGCACCTTAGCGTTGTTAAACGCCTTGACAAGTCCCACAGTCTTCGCGGGCCGTGTTTTGAAGTGACTTAAGCCTACAATTGGGAAGTTTGCTGGAAAGAAACAAGACACTGGGATTCCCCGCTCGCTCGCACAGCCGGGTTAGCACTGCGGGGCTAAGTTTGAAGTCTGAAGCCTGGGGCGCCCGGTGCCAGTGGAAGGAGGCTTCTCAGGGACGTGACAGCACGGCAGGGGACCAAGCCTTTGCCTGAGGAGTGGGACTTCGGTGGAACACGTGCCCTCTTCACCCCAGTATCTATCTTTCCAAGGGACTGCCTCAGTCTGCAGTCTGCATCCATCTAAGGGGCCTGCCCATTTCCTCCTCCCCAGTTAACCAGTTTTATTGCCAGAATCCCCACCAAACACCTGCACAGTCTAGAGAGAAGTGTCAAAGTGGGAGTAGGAAAGCCCCCCAGGAAAACCCACAGAGCAGAGCGAGCCAACACACACCGTGCGAGGAAGCCAGTGGTGCTTAAACCTGAGTCGCGTGCATCTTTCGGTAGCCTGTAAACACTGCGGTGTGAGCAGGGTTAGGGGAGACAGAGACCAAGGTAGACGCTCAAACCTGCCAGGTGCCGGATCACAGGGCTGCTACTACGTTCATCCACATTCTCCGTTTCTTTTCCTCTCCCCTCTCCCTCTTGCTCCCTCCCTTCTTTCTGTGTCCCTCATCCTCCCTCTCATCCTTTCCTCCCTCCCTTCCCCTGACACTCGGCCTGAGAGAAACCTCCAATCTTTGCTTTAAGCAAGCGTCTTCCACTTACTCCTCCAAACGCTGGGACACGGGCGGGGGGGGGGGGGCGGGGGGGTGAGTTATGAATGTGTTTCCTAAGAGCCAGTTCTTGCTTTGAAGTAGAAGGAGGCCACATCCCCTGACGTACCTAGAAGGTGGCTAGTACAGGTGTTAGAAACTTTGCCATTGTAAGTATTCTGAACCAAAGAGTCTCAAATCTTGACCCCTCTCTATAAAAAAAAAAAATGGCAAAATGGAATGGAAAAGAGCAGGGAGGGTGAAGATTTTCTCCCGCTCCCACTGCTGAGGGAAGGAGGCACAGTTTGGGTGTAATTAATTGAAGATTGTTATTAGGTCATCATTAGTCAACGTGCAAATAATTGCTGCCCATTTTTACTTAAAATTGACCAGCCTGAGTGTGATAGATCGATTCAGAGGATAAAAATGATGTATCAAAACATCAATGTCGATTATCTGAAATATTGTAGTCGAATTTTTTTCTTATTGCTTCATCGGTTAAGTGTCTGAAAGTGCGGTGTTCAAACATATATTTATGTTGTCAATACTGTCAGAACTGTCAGTTTTACTATACCGGATTTGTACTACATTTCAAATTTGATCATTTGCATAAAATGCCCACCCTAGGATTCCCCTCACTCCCACCCCATCTCTGGAAAATCTCTGTCAGTTCCTTCAAAGGATTCTGCAATCTTTGCCTAAGCTGAGGTGGGCACTGCTTCTGTTGCTCAAATTTCCAGGGCAGATTATATGTCTTTTTCACCATTTCTAACTTTGGAAGAGGCACTCCCTCCTTTTTGCCCAACTATGCCTAACATAACCTTTTCTCCAAGACAGTATTGGAGCAATGCACACACCGCATTCTAGCTACAAAATACAGCACTTGGGTAGGACAGCCGTGTGATACAGATTCCACCCGACCTTCTTGGCCACCCTCAGGTAAACCCTTAAATTACCGGAAAGATTGAAGTCTTCCCAGGAAAATGAATGTAGGAGTAAAAATACCGTTTTTTCTTTCCTTTTTTTTACTTAAAAGCTGGCGATGGTAGGAGAGGAAATAACACACATAAGTGATCTGCACGTTTTACCTTTAAAAGCTTTTGAACTCCATCGAAAGACACAGGTTGTGAGCAGAACTGACAGTTTTAATTCTACCCATTTTCACGTAGCACGTCAGATCAGAGGCACTCATTTATTTTATGGGGTGGGGCATTAGAAAAAGCAGATAGGGTGAATTCGATTATCTCTATCCTAAAAATCCCAGAGAAATTAAACTCTCATATTGAAACGCAAACATTTCATTGCTCTGTACAATTAGTCTAGACTAATTGAAATTTATAAATTCACATTCTCTCTAATCGTGTGCTTTTCATCCTCCCTACCCCCACCCCCAGGATTCCAGCGAAGTCTGGTAGGTAAGGATGTGATGTTGTTTTAGTAAACCTAAAGCACTTTCATTTTCTTTTTAATGTATTTAAATAGGTCTGTTTGGACATTCAAAGAAGCTACACATACAAAGATGGTTTAAAAAATCTGAGCGTCCCTATACTCATCCTTGCCTCGAATAATAAGTAAGTAAATAAGCAAAGTGCAAGGCAAAAGAAAGTTTGCTGCTTGCATTTGTAGGTTGTAGTGCGCGCGTGTATAAACATCTTGGAGTCAGTGTTGGTGTGTTACACCCCACCCCTCCCGCTCCCCAGGCAAGGGCGTGGAGAGATCGCCCCCAGAGAGCCATGTTTACTCGCTTTTTTTTTTTTTTAATCTCTCGGCTGTGTATGACAAGTGTTGCTTGAAGAAATTCATCGGCCTTCTCCAGATACTTCCAGGTTTGCTGTAATGATCTGCAGAAGAGAACTGCCACCCCTTTCTCACATCCCAAGGTGTTGGCGGAACTGGAGCGAGGCGGAGAGAGGCTGCAGTGCGTAATTGCAGAGGGGAGGGCGGGCGGGGTGCCTCCTGGGATCCAGGGCAGGGGTTGGGGAGGTAAGATGCAACCCAGGAAAGGTCTTTCTGGACGCTGGAGTCGCCAGTTGGAGAATATTTGGACAAGGTATGATTGCCTTATCCCCCCCCTCCTCCCCGTCTCTATCCCGATGCCTTTGGGGAGAAGAGATACCCTTGTGTAACAATTAGCTCAGACAATAAAAATAATTGGAAAATCAGTTGGAATTTCTGAGTTTTTAATTACGTTTAATTTTGCACTAAGCCGTAAAATTACGAATGCCCCTCAATTAAACACTTTCCTCTTGCAAAGCGTTTAACAACAATTATTCCTTAATCAGTCTGAATGTGAGTCACAAATGGTGCTTTTCCACATCAAAAGGACGTCCTTCCACGTTACCTTTTAGTCATAAGAGGATTAATTCCTGTAATTAGAGGGATAAATATGTGCATAAATATCCCTCTCACTCTCTTCTTTAAAACAACAACAAGAAGAAAACACTTTCACTGTGTGCGAGACATAGTGGGTGCGGGAAAGGGAAGTGTTGCTGATGCTGAGGAGTAGGTTTCGGCCCGACATCCCTTTACGTGCTCGGGCCATGGGAATCCCGGGCTGCGGGGCGCGCTTCGCAGAACTGGAAGGACGCGCACTCACACTCAGGGATGCGCTCGGGTCAGGCGCTGGTCCACAGCTGGGGCCGCAAGGATCCGAGTCCAGCCTAATTTTTCCAGACTGCAATCTACATCCCACTTTCGCCTCTGGCCGGCGCAGCAGGACTTCATTCCGGTCGGTGCCCAGGTCCCCTGGAGTGGAAGTCCCTGCCCTAAGCCGGAGCTCCAGTTTGACTTTTCAGGCTGCAAATAAAAATTGAGCATGACCTTTTAAAACTCCAGTGTGAATATCTCATTTACCTAATGACTTTATGTCACCTACGGAGAAGGTCAATTTCCTCTTAACCTTTCCCCTGCTGCTGCAGTAAGCATTCTTCCCTAATCAATGGTGGCTCGAATGATCAATTCCCATTTTATGATCGCTGACAAAGTCAGGCTAGGGGTGGGGGTGAGACCGAGCTGCTGGATCGGCCAGGACAGGGGCTTCTGGTACGCCCAGCTCCGCCCGGCGCCTTGAGAAGCTCTCTCTCCTTCGAGTTCAGAGACCTTGGCAAACTTCCCTCCCCCACCCGCCGGCGAGACTTCTGAGTTGTCACTAATCCGAACCTGAAATTCACCAGAGCCCCTTCGGTTACCGACAACGCTCCCTGCTGCTGCTGCCCCCTCCTCGCCCCTCCTTCAAATGCTTTCTTTTCTAAGTCTGCGAGCAGGATTGCCCGACCCTGTGGAGAGAGTGTGTGTTACTTTTATTTTTCGAAATTAAAATTATCTCTTCCATCTTCACTGTGGATCTCTCAGTTCCTCCGGGTTAACTACGTGTAAACAAAGCAACAACAAAAGCCCAAGGCTCTAGGAATCTCTCTCTCTCTCTCTCTCTCTCTCTCTCTCTCTCTCTCTCTCTCTCTCTCTCTCTCTCACACACACACACACACACACACACACACACACACACACACACACACACACACACACACAGAGGCAGTGTAGCCCCACTACACCGGGCTACCCTTAAAGGGTATGTGTTATACATTACTACTTTGGTCCTATTTAAGTTATTGAAGCCTTCCTCAAGTCTGCGGAAACAGGACGCAAATGACTAAATGAAAGCTAATTTGGTGTAAGTTTGCAGCTCTTCAACTTTGTGGGTTCAAGGTAATCACCCCCCTCTTCCAGGCTCTCCTGCAGCAGTTGACTTTCATACATGCAGGACCTTTCTGAAGTAGAGATTTCTTGACATGAGTTCTCCACAGAAACCTGGGAATTCACCTTATTTCACCCCAAACCCATTTTCATGGGCTTCCAAGATCTGCAGAGGCTGCTGACCATTATCACATGATGTACAGAGCCTTGCCTAGCTAGGATTCAATCACAGGAAATTCACTGTTCTATGAAAAAGATGTCCTGTGGGCAGGGTTTGTGGCCATTTCCTTTGAGGAGCCCATTTCTCAGTTCTGTACTGACCAGCTAGTTAAAACAGAAACTTAACTCCTTAGACTTCTGTTTGGCCTGCTCTGCCTATGGAGACACTCTTTGAAAAGGAACATAAATTACCCTGCTAGCTCAGAGTATCTCATTACTTGTGGGCAGATATTTTGCAAAAATTTGAAAGTCTTTTAGGTAATCAAATGAAAGTGTAACTCTTCCACTCTTTATCCCCCAGCTAACCCAAGAACAAACAGAAGGCAGAATGAAAGGTCAATGTGACTCAGTCATCCTAACCTTATTCCTTTGAGGCAGGCATGGCCACTCTTGGCTCAGACCCATGATGCTGGGTTGTAGCTACTCAAGAGGTAGCCACCACAAGCCAAGCTCAGGAACTGATCTGGGCAGAGTGCTTAATCCTCAGTCTTACTGCTTGTCATGATCCCTGCCAGGAAACACGTTTGCAGGTCTTAATGAGCTGGATTCTGGATTCAGGGAGGCACAAGGGTTGGTAAAGCCCTAACTGCACTTCCTTAACACTTTAGTTTTTAGATTTGCCTGGTATTTCCAGATTTCACTGAACTACAACCTGTCTGTGGGTCAGGAAGTGCTTGTACTGGAAGTTTCCCATGACTAAGAGAACTCAGTGGGACTTTTATCTCTATTTGTCAAAGGAGCAGACAGATAGGGGATGGGCCCCTTGACCTCAGATAGTTACCAAGACTTTCCTCTTCAGCAAATTTAATTCTCACATGAAGAGTAATTAACAACCTCTGATTACTCATTCTGAGAATTTCCTTTTCTTATCTTAACAGCTTTCATGGGGGTATTGAAGAATATGCTTGATAGTCATTTCTGGTTTCATTGCATTTAAACATCTTGCATTCTTCCCATTTCTTCCCAAGTCTCCTTGAACACATTTAGCACAGTCTTGAGCTACATTCTAATCCAGTATGCCAACCCCAAACCCATCTCCAACCCAATAGAGGGCAAAGCCATGCAGCAATTCCCTTAGCCATAGGACACATTTCAAGATGCCTAGTGGATGTCCAAAGCTACGGACAGCAGTGAACTCTGTTTGGTATGCTTTTTCCTGTACACACTTACCAAAATGATAAAGATTAATCTGTAAATTAAATACCGCAAGAGAGTAACAACCATAACAAAAGAACAATTATAAAATATGCTGTAGCAAAAAATTCTTAAAACTTACGAATTGCTCAGTTCCTGACTTTCCAATTTAACATCTTGGGACTGTGGTTGATCTTGAGTAACTGAAATGGCAGAAAGCAAACCCTTAAATAAAGGGCACTATAAACTAGACTATGGAGAGTCCTTCTCCAAATTAAGAGTGCTTAATTTGGAGAGCACTTTTTGAAGAAAGTTTGTTTTGTTAATAGTAAAAATGTAGTTCCCCTCTTTGTCCCTACAAGCATTTCATTTGGGATTGTAAACCAAAGTATGAAAGTATGTGTCAAAAGACAAGCCACAGTCCTGGAATGGGAAGAATGTTCACACAACCCACTAGCGGTTCAAAGGTACAAGAGGGAGACCCCGCGACCCTATGTGGAAAGACATCTCATTCAAATATCTCCAAGAGTGAAAGAGTCTCATCACTTCTGAGGGGTTTTTTTTTTTTCCCCAGAAGAACAGAAATGAACTCCAAGGACAGAGGAGACTCAGAATGTGACCTGGAGGCAGGTCCTGGGTCTGTCCCCAGCTGACTATATACTCTTAAGGCACCCAAGCTCTTTTCTTTAAATTGAGACATAACACTGGGATTCAGTATCATGATTTAATATGTATCTACAATGTGTGATGATCAAACAGGACAATAAGCATTTCCATGTCATCAAATATTAATAATTTCTGCATGCTATTGCTTCCATATTCTTCTAGCCATTTTGAAATGTATCACAGATTGTTGCAACCCATGGTTACCCTACTGTGCTATTAGACAACCAGAATGAATTCCACCTATCTAACTATACTTTGGTTTCCTTTAATTTCTTTCTATCACCTCTCCCTATGCTCTTTCCACTCTATAGAGATTGTCTATTCTAGTACATTCTTTAATGAGACCAGCTTTTTGTTTCCACATCATGTAGTATTTATGGGTCTGTGTCTGGCTGATTTCACTTAACATAATGACCTTCGGTTCTATATATGTTGTTACAAATGACAAAACTGCCTTTTTTTTCTTATGGTGAAATAATGTTCACACACACACACACACATGCACACACACACAGCAATTCACTGTGCCTCATACTTTCTCCATCTATCCATCCATCCATCCATCCATCCACGTTCACCTTGGTTGGTTTATAGACCATTAGTATTTTCACTCACTAAGTGGCATGCACAGCATCTTTCAGTACTTTGAAAGCCAGCCAAAACAAAGAAGTTTTTTAGTCAGGTTAAGACTAATTTTGTTATGCCCTGCAACCAAAAAATGAGCGGCTTTCAGCAATATTGTCTAGGTATGATGGGTGGTATTCTATTTTGTTTTGGAGATTTCTGGGATCTCCCCTACCAATAACTCATAGGGAGGTATCCTGTGCCTAACACTGAGATTTTTATTTAATAACTCATGTTTTCTGGGAGCAGCTTTGTCCACCATGAACATTTGTTATTGTTTTGTCTTTTTGATGACAGCCATTCTAACTGGAATATTATATCTCATTGTAGTTTTAAGGTGCTTTTCATTGAAGATAGTTATTACTTAGCATTTATCATATTTTTGGCCATGTATATGCCATATTTTGAGAAATGTCTATTCATATCTTTGGCTCATCTTTAATTTGTTTGTTTGTTTGTTTTAGATGTGGTCTCTCTACATAGCCCTAGCTGTCCTGGAACTCACTATCTGGATAGAGCAGACTGGCCTCTAACTCACAGAGATCTGCCTGCCTCTGACTTCCAAGCACTGGGACTAAGGGCATGTGCTATTGCACCTGGCTTAATTTATTTATTTAAAAAAAATATTTTACTCTATGTGTGTGAGTGTTTTGCCTTCAGGTCTATCTGTGTCCTACTTGCATGCCTGGTGTCCACAGATGCCAGAAGAGGTAGTCCAAGTTCCCTAGAACTAGAGTTACAGATGGGTGTGGTCAGAATGTGGGTGCTAGGAATTGAACCTGAGTCCTCTAAAAGAGCAGTCAATGTTAACCACTGAGCCATCTCT